AATATACCCCGACATAACCCCTATATCCCTTTAAGGGAACTCTCTATGAGCTATTCTCTAAACTCCTAGTATCCCGCTAACTTAATAAGCCCTATAATACTCCCGTACTAAGCCCTATAATACTCCCGTATAAAAATCCCCCTTAAGGAGTTTGGACTATAGCTCATATAACACCTTAAACCCTAAACCCCATATATCCTTATATACCCCTATAGATCCCTTTTAAAGCTTTTTTGCGGCCTGGAGCTGAAGGATTGCACGATCCTTCTTTTCCAGCTGCTCGCGCAGCCTAAAGTCTAGGGTTCAGGGTTTAGGGGTTTAGGGTTTTAGGGTGGAGGGTTTAGGGTATGGGGTTAGGGATATTGGGGTTATCTTGGGTATATATTGGGATACTGAAAAATAAATTGGCAACTACTACTATTCAGGGTTTGGGGTTTAGGGTCCAGGGTTTAGGTTGGGTACTGCCCCCACCCTGTAACAGTCTATACTAGGGTCATATTAAGGGCTACATTCAAGTATATTATGAATATTATCCAACTGTTACAGAGGAGGGGGGGAACAGTACTCACAGTTTAGGGTTTAGGGAGAAAGGCTTCTCAGCTCGCACTGCAGTAGAAGAACCATAACAGGATCTTATTACCCAACCCACATAACAAGGACCCAAGAATTAGAGTCCAACGACAGTTACAATCCTCATTTGAGACATTGTCTAAACTCCTAGTATCCCCCTTAATGACCCTTATAGTAGTACCCTATATAATCCCTATATAACCCCCTTTAAGGAGTTTAGACTATAGCTCATTTGGGGGGTTGGGATTACCAAGACCCTCTTACTAAAGAAGCAGCAGTGGCAGCGGCGTTTGAAGTTGGGTTGATCGGCTCCATTCATGGTTATAAATGGGGACTCTATAGGGTTTGGGGTTTAGGGTTATGTGTTCAGGTTCTGCCACGACCAAGAGCAAATTCTCCTTCTCTTCTAGCTATTCATAAACTCTAAACCCAAAATCTCCAGTTTGTGAATCTCCGAGAGATTCTCAGGTGCCATGCGCCGGGCACATTCACGCCATCCTCACTAGACTGCAGCTACCTCCACTCATGGATTTATCTGGCCATATCTGCTTCCTGACGAAAGACGGCAAGGATGAATGTGCTCTTGACAATACTTCCAATGTGAGCTATAGTCTAAAGTCCTAGTATCTCCCTTAATAGCCCCTATAGTAGTCCCCTACATACTCCCCTTTAAGGAGTTTAGACCTAAACCCTATAGTAGTTTTCATTTTATATTCCATTATCCCAAAATAAACCCAATATAACCCTAATGTAACCCCAATATAACCCGAAACTAATCCCCTTTAAGGAGTTTAGACTACTGCTCATGTAGAAGCATGGCTTGTGGGCATCACACATCGGCTGAGGCCTCCGCTCCTGAATGTCCTTAGTGTTCAGCCAGCCGCATTCTTAAACGTAGTTGCTGTTAGGGTCGTTATGACTCTCTGAGGCAGGCCTTGGCCAAATCAAACCCTGGCGCAGAAACCATTATATTAGTCCGGGAAAGACAAGTCAAGCCGCGACAAAACCTAAGCATCGCGGCGCTACGAAGTCCTGTAAGACAACAGCAAGTGTTCTGTTGCGATCAGAACCGTAGTGGACATGTGAGCTCCACTTAAAGCTTGCGTTTCAGAATCTTGTTACTCTTGCTACTAGTCTATTGCCATCGTTACTGCTATGGCCGAGCCGAAGCCCAAGCAAATTTGAAGAAGCAACCAGAAAGCTCCAGACAACTTTCTCCCCAAACAACTTGGCAGGGAACCTCATGATCCACGGTTTAGGGTTTGGCGTACTTTGCAGGGAACGTTGCGATCCTTGTCGAAAATGCACGCTAGTGGGGCACTTTTGTGAAGGCCGCAGAAGCACAATTCTCTTGTTGCCCCTGTATACTACCCCCCCCATCTAAAGGATTGTTGGGACTAGGTAAGGCAAATAAAGGCCAATTACGGGGTCAGTCCCACGTCATCTCTGAGCACCCGGTGCAATCCCTCATGGGGACCCGATTCCCCATACATCCCTAGGGTCCTGATCGTACCATGTTGTAAGAAGCCCTTGTATCTCTACCGAGTGCAGTGGTGGAAAAGCTGATCGGCTACCCTAAACCCTAAACCCTACTGAAACATCCATGCTAGCTGCTTCTGGGGAATCCCCACAACTGTGTTCCAATCCGGATGCTCTGCCTTAAGCCCTAAACCCACCCTAAACCCTAAAACCTCCCTAAACCCAAAGGTGACAAGTAAGCTCCAAATGCGCTCAAGCCTAAACTCCTAGTATCCCCCTTAGTCACCCCTATAGATCCCCATATAACCCGCTTTAAGGAGTTTAGACCCAAAACCCTAAACCTT